GGGCCGCGGGCGGGGCCCCCGCCGGCGGTGACGGGAGCGTCCCCGTCCCGCTCCCACCGCGGCAGGCGTCGAGACGTGCCCCCGCACCCCGGGTTAATCAGTAGCCGCTGCCGCACCGCTGGTGCTTCCAAAGGCCAAAGTTACAGGGTTTGTCACCGGGGAGCGGGCTGGGCCGGCGGGGGCCTTCCTGTCCCTGCAGTGACGTCCCCTCCATTGTGCTGGAACAATCCCGGACCAGGCTGGGATTAACCCGATCCCAGCTGATTCGGACCCGGAGCCGGCAGCGCCTGTGTCCTGGCCGGGACGCCCACCCCGGGGACCCGTCCTGCTCCGGCTCCCCCACGTGCCCCCGTGGTGATCCCTTGGGGCCTGCGGGGTGTCACCTTTTTGCTGTTTCTGCCCCAAATCCACCCAAACAAACCCCAAACCCTTTTCCCCTCCTCCCTGAGCCGTGGGACGGTTCAAGACGCAGCCACGATGGGGGTCCGGTGGCATTCCCAGCCAGCACCATGCCACCATGCTGGCTCTTGGGAGCGGTGCCAGGCGCCGTGTTGGGAAGCACTCCATGCCTGGCGACACCGGATGCCCCGTTTCCCCCCCCCCTTCCCCCCCCAAATCGCCAATTTCTGCCACCAGCTGCCTGGGTTTCGCTTGGCGGCGGTTCAGGATGCGAAGGTGCAGGTGGGTTGGGGATGAGGCCATGCCCGTTCCCAATCACCTTCCCCTGTGGCGTGACTCCCCAGCTGGCATCACCGCCTTCCCCAGGCCCAAAACCGGGAGCCGGGGTGGCTGTGCTGGGAGACGCCGGCTCCGAGCGGCCTCAAGGACAGGGGACGTGGCCAGCAGCCAGGACCAGCTCTCCAGACCTACAGCACCAGCCCGTGCTGCCACTGCTGTGGCCTGGCTGTGGGGAAGGGCAGGAGACACGCGTGTGCGGGCTGTGACGAGGCGTGTGCGCACGTGTGTGGGGACGCGGGGGTGTCTGTGTGTGTGTGCACATAGGGCAGGGAGTTGCGAAACGCCCCGGCCAGTTTCCTGCGAAACCAGGCAGAAACCGGGCAGGGCGGGAGGCGACGTGACAATGCGGGCAGCGCCCAGAGCCGGCAGGACGGGATTTTCCGGCTCCTGGGGCTGTGACACGCTGGGCAGCGCGGCACAACATGCCGTCACCCCTGCCCTGGGGACCATCACCGCTGCCTCGGGGCTCCCGGTGACCTCCCTGACCCAGCTGCAGCCTCCCCTGCTCCCCATATCCCATCGCTGGGGCCCCCCTGCACTTCTCAGCCGTGTCTTTTCCCCCCTGCAGTGTCCCTGGTGGGAGCCCAGGTCACCTCCGAGACCAAAGAAGTGCCTGAAAACAAGCGTGAGTGCCCGGCTCCAGCCCCAGCACCCCCAGCCCCCCGGCGGTCCCCCCCACCCCGTTATCCCTGGGGGGCACAGCTGAGCAACATCCCCCGGCACCTCCAGTGCTGCAAATGGGGTTCACCCCGGGGTCCCTGGGTTTCGCGCCGAGGTCCCTGGACCCCCAGGGGATGCGGCGCCCGGGGCCGAGGGTGGATTTCCTGTGCAGGGCTGGACCGGGAAGGGTTCGGGGGCTCCTGGCTTGGATTGCCGCCCACCACGGGACGCGAGCACGGTGCTGCTCTGGTGTGGTGGCACGCGCTTGCAGCGTTGTTCTCCCCTGGCAGCCGCCGACATCCCCTGCTCGGCGTATCGGTCTGGCTGGAACAACCCCCGCATCGAGTGGAAGTTCCAGAAGGGCTCCTCGCTGGTCCTCTTCTACTACGGGGGAGAGCTGACAGGTACGTCCCCAGGGACCCCCGGCTCGGGGCATCCCACCGGTCTGTCCGTCTGTCGGAGCCGGTTCCAGCCCCGTCTCCTCTCTCTGGGCAGAGCCATACAAGAACCGGGTCCGGTTCTCGCCCACCACCATCCACTTCAGCATGGTGACGCGGGAGGACACGGGGAAGTACATCTGCGAGGTGGTGGGGGACAGCAGCCAGATCGCCAAGTCGGAGGTGAACCTCATCGTCCAAGGTGCGGCCGCCCCCGAGCCCCCCTCCCTGCTCGTCCCTTGCGTGGCTTTGCTGTCCCAGGACCCGCTTCTTGTCCCTTGGCTGAGCTCATCCTTGTCCCCACCCTCGCGTGGGGAAGGATGCCGGCACCACCGTCCAATGCCCTTCGAGCACCCCGTCCCTCCCCGGCGTCAGCCGTGCCGAGCCAGCCCCAACGCCACGCTCTCTCGCAGTGCCCCCCTCCAAGCCGGTGGCCCATGTCCCCACCTCGGCCACCATCGGCAGCAAGGCCGTGCTGCGATGCACCGAGACAGACGGCTCGCCGCCCCCTACCTTCCGCTGGTACAAGAACGGCATGCTGATGCCCCCCGACCCCAAAACCAGCCTGACCTTCAGAAACTCCTCCTACACCCTGGACCCTGCCACGGGGGAGCTGGTGAGTGCGGGGTGCTCCAAACCCGGGGACCCCCAGCCTTCCCCTGCCCTGCTCTCACCTCTCCACTCCCATCCAGATCTTCGAGCCCCTGAGTGGCTTCGACACCGGCGACTACTACTGCGAGGCGATGAACAACGTGGGCTCCCCCCAGAAATCGGACGTTATCCACATGGAAGCCAGTAAGGAACGGCAGCAGAGGCCAGTGCCGCGTGTCCCCCTCTGCCCGGCGTGGGGCTTTTCCAGGCTCTGCCCAGGCTGCGTCCGGCACAGGTCACGTTTTGGGGGATGCCGGTGCGGGGCGATGCCGTCACCCCTTCGCCCTTGCAGGTTCAAAGACGTTAATTAGCTGTGATGTTAATGACCCTGCTGTATGGTTTCCAACAGCCCGGGCTGAAACAAGCCCTTGGCGTGATGCTGTGCAGGGGGACAGGGGGAAAGCTGCCCTTGGGGATGTGTAAAACTTGGCTGGGCAGCCCGATCCACCTCTGAACCAGATCCGGCTTTGATGCCGGCCCCTCTTGGCGCTGGGTTTGGACCGGGGGCCCCCTCCGGCTTCTCTCACACGGGGATTTCTGCGGGATCCCGTGGGTGCCGAGCTGAGGGTTTCTGTGCCAGGATCCAGCTGCCCTCTAACGTCCCGGTCCCTCTCTATCCAGGTGAAGTCAACGTGGGTGGCATCGTGGCCGCGGTCGTGGTGCTGCTGATGGTGCTGGCGCTCGTGGGCTTCGGCATCTGGTTTGCCTACAGCCGGGGCTTCTTCAGCAGTGAGTACCACACCGGCCGCCCCAGGACCCGCTCGCCCCGGTGTCCCCCCTGTCCCCCCCCTAAAACCCCCGTTCTGTTTCTTTCATTTCAGAGAGAAAAGAGTAAGTGAAGCCGTAACGCCGCTGCCTCCCTGCCGGCTGCCTCCTCTTCCTCTGCCAGCGGGGATGGGTGGTCTCTTCCTCCCCCAGCCCCTACCCGTGGGCTGGGAGGGCGCCTCGGGTGTCACCGGGGGCTTAGGGTGGGGATGTGAGGGGGACTCTGGGCAGTGCGACGTCTCCTAACACCCTTGCTTTCTGCAGCACCGCCAGCAAGAAGGTGATTTACAGCCAGCCCTCGCACCGCAGTGAAGTGAGTACGGGCTGGGACGGGTGGGTGGTGACAGTGCCACGCAGCTGCGTCGCCTCCCGGCGGGGTGCGCGAAGCCGGGCGCCTTCCCCGGGGGCACCCAAAGGCGGTGAGCGGGTCCCCGGTGCCCCCCTGGGCTTGCAGGTGCCATCCCTTGTCCCTGTCCTGCTTGGAGCAAGCCGGGCTCCTCAGGGACCGTGACCGGCTCTGCCTGGGGACAGTGGCAAACCAGCCAGGTGCTCCCCACCCACAGCCCTCGTCCCACCTGGTTCCCGTCACCCGCCATCGTTAACGTCCCCCTTGTCCCCGCAGGGAGAGTTCAAGCAGACGTCCTCCTTCCTGGTGTGAAGCTCCTCCGGTGCCACCGACTCTTGTAAATGTTCCCGAAATACTGTAGCTACGCCGTGATTTTAACTATTATTTTTTTAAGTATCACTGTTGCCTTTGCCGTCGTGTCGGAGGTTTTTTGGGGGGGAGGTCTCCTGTCCCCCTCTGATCCGGGTCCTGGCCGTGCCCCCGCGCAGGGGGACACGCCGCGTCCCCGGGGGTTTCTCGGCTGTGCCCTCGGAGGGGACGGGTCTGGGGTGGGGGCTGGTGTAACCCCACATCCCCCCATCCTGGGGGGTCGGAGCGCACCGCCCGTGGCCCCAGTCCCAGCCACCCACTGGTCCCAGTTGCCCCCCTGTACCAGGGGAGGCTGGACTGAGCCTGTGGGTGATGGCTGCAGGTGGCCACTGCTGGAAAGAAATAAACCTGTGTCCTTGTACCGAGTGCCTGGTGCCCTTTCCTGGGGGGACGGGTTGGGGATGGCTCTGCCCCCCGCCCACTTTTGGGGGCTGAGGGGGACCCTGGGTGACACCCAGCCCCCCCTGCCCCGGCGCAGGCAGCAGAGCCCTTCCCTACCATCAACATCACCTTTATTTAGTAACTGCTTCGCCTTTTCTCCCCCCAAAGGGAGGATGAGACCTCGGGGTGCCCCGGCGGCGGCAGGGCTTCAGCGAGCCAGTCTTTCCCGG